CAGGCGGGCCCTAGCCCCTCTCTGCTCTGCCTCAGCACGGAGCAGCGCCCGGGAGGAGCGCGTGGGGCGGCAGAGGGAAACAGGTGCCGTTGAGGTCCCCTCCGCGTGCGTTACTCTGGACGAGCTCTGGCCCGGTCCCCGGGGACTGGATTCCTGTTAGAGGTTGGATCACGTTAGGGATGCTGCAGGAGTCATCCAGGGCAGGGTTATTGGAAAGGGTTTCGGTTCACCTGCATCCGTACGGCTGCGTAGCGTGACCCGAAGGCGTGCACCCGGAGGAGGGTTGGGAGAGTGACTTTGCAAGCCTGTCCCGATCTCTAGGCAGATGCTGATGGAGGCACGCACTGACCACCAGAGACACAGCAGACCGTATCAGGGAACAAAATACACGCCCGATTTTTCTTGTAAATATCGACACAGAGGAACATCTAGTTATAGATCTGTGCGCACTTAGCAATGTCCTGTAGGTAAGGGCAGCAGAGCTTGGCAAATAGGAGGCAAGAACTGGTGTGCAGAAGGCAGGGAGACGGGAGCAAATAGGTTGATATGGCTTTAGGGACTTGGAGGTCACGGTCAGCTTTTGTTTCGTATGGTGAAATGCAGTGGACCCTGGCCCAGCAGTTGACAGTGTTACCGTAATTCAGTGGTCATTGCTAATTGACAGTAGTTGGCATTGCTTATATCAGGTTTTCTGCAGTCACTGAGGTGGTGAATGCAGCATTTTCCTCTTCTGTCAGTGTAAAATCCCCTCCAGAATTACTTCATTTTTTAAAGTCTGTTTTCAGGGAAAACGTCAGCAGCACTGCATGTTTAAAGTTGGATTCCAGATATTCTTGTTTGTAGTAATTACAGTACAGTCTTAGCACTGTAATAGTTTTACAGTTTGTATGATTTTGTCTCAGTTTGAGCAACAGGAAACTGAGTATTCCTTTATAGATGACAAAACGTGGCAATTTGAGGGATCTCACTAGAGAGGAAAGCTTGCAGCGTGCAGGCCCCATGACTTCCAGGTACCCAGGTTATGTCAGTGCTGTTCTGGGCAGGTGCAGGGCTGGCAGGAGCCTATTGAAACCATTGTGGCTTGGCATGTGCGCAGGATTTTGCCTTGTCTAGAGCAGGGTGCAAAGACGGAGTGTTGGTTCTCATACATTTTCCACGACAGTTAAATGTTTGAGCTGCTGTTTATTATGACTGTTCTTTAAAGTTGCTTCCTTTGGAATTTGTTTTTAGTAGAAAACCTATATTTGGTCTTACAGTTTATGTGTGTATATAATCTTAGCTTTCTTGATCCTGCAGGTTATCTTGGATAAAATGCTACTTAACAATAATAAGGGTCCCATCTCTTTTATTTTTTGACCTGACAACGCCCCTCCAAAATGTGCCCTGCACTAGTTACCTTACTAGTGTAAAGTATATGTAAACAACTACCATTCTGCTTTAGCTGTTGCACCTTCTTTGCATCCATATGGAAGATTTACGCTGGAAGACAGGGGAAAAAGACCTCCAGCAGAGTGTTCTTGAAGGCATCGTTGAAGAATATCACTTGAGGTGGATGAGTTTGCTGTCCTTCCCTTACTTGACAATTCTCTTGTATTTTTGTGTGCAAGTCTATAAATGTATTTTTTTTTGTATGCAGTGTGCAGGTGCAATGATGAATAGGTAGTGTAAATAAATGCCAAATAAACCTATTGAATATCTTTACAGGATTAAAAAAATCTTGTAGTTGCAGCTTGGCCTACTGTCAATTTAAGTGTTTTATTCTTTTAAATTAATTGTGAATGTGAGCAAATCAGATTTGTGATGCATACGTAAGAGCTCAGCTTAACATGACAAAGTGCAAAAGTGAGTAAGCACCAAGTTGCTCACCTTTGTCCTTGCCCGTACAATGCTTGCATGCAAAGCAGAAGGTAGTTGAAAGGTAAAAGTTCAGAAATGCTTCCAAAGGGCTTGCCTTTCTAAATAATCAGACATATAAGTACAAATAATTCTCATAACTAGTAGCATTTTACTGGAGGATCAGAGCACAGGAGACCGTCAAACAAAGTAGTATTTTCCCTTGAAGCTAGTCAAGTTGTACTACTCCAGGTACAGTAGGATGAGGTAACTTTACTAATCTTATCTAATAGCTTGCTGCTGCCGGAGAAGTGATCCAAGTCTTCTCTCTTATGTCGGCACTGCTGCTGGTCTGACCTGTGGGTGAGTAAAGTCACTGAAGCAGTGGTTTCCTGGCAGCCTGGGCTGTGGTACTTGGTGGCTGCTGCAGATCTCTCTCGGAGCCCTTGCATTGGCCCCAGTGTGTATTAGAGCTTGCGCCAACCAGTTTGGGTGCGCTGGCCCAGCAGAAAGCTATTTTTCTTGTTCGCCTTGATGGATGGGGTTCCGCTGATACAGCTTGCTGGAGTGGTTTGGTATAGGAGCTGATGAATGTTAAAGCTGGCACAAGGAAAAGAGTAAGAACATGCAGCTGGGGGGAGGTAAGGAACCATGTCAGCCAGGAGTGAAACTGCAGCCTGAGCTGTTAGATATCTGTTTGTGTCTTTTTTGCCCGGATTGGTTTTTTTTAGCTGGTCTGATGAGCTGAAGAGGCTTGCTGAAGCAGTAAACAAGTGTCAGAGCTGATGTAAAGCAGGGAGCTTGAAGACATGAGCAGGTGAGACGGGAGCGGGACCATCCTTCTCCGTAGGAATAATCTATTAGACAGCTCAGCCGTCTTGTTTGATTGCCTCTTTACCCCACTGTGTGTCATGAAGACAGGGTAGTTTTCTCTGAATTCAAGAAAGCTTTTTAATAAGTATGTTCTGGAAAACTGGGGAAAAGATAAGAAGTAGAGCAGTTTGAGGATCTTCTGATGGAAAGATTCTCCCTTTATGAAATACTGACTTTTTTTTTTAATTAGAATATGTAAAGTTCAGCCTATTGTCACACAAGAAGACAAGGAAACCTTCTTCCTTTCCTAGTTGTCCTGCTGGAGCTCCAAGCTGGACTCTGGAAAACTCAGGCTTTCTGTTAGGCTGCTGTCATGCCACAGGTTGGCATAAAATAAGAGCGGCTTATGAACTGCAGAAACGTTGATGTGTTGTTGCCTTTTCTCTGTGAAAAATGTTGACTTCTGGAAGGATCAGATCAATTTGCAGTGATACTTCTACAAAAACCTAAATTCCTAACGCTCATTGTTGAAATTTGCATATGAACTACTCTTTAGACACATTCTGCATCACTATGTTGGGATGGACATCTATACCTGTTAAGCTCAAAACAAAAGCCATGGAGTGGATCTCTTTCTACAGAGCTTGTTGTGGTATCAGGATTTTAGTCTGGGTGATCAGGAGGAGAGGAAGTGCAAGGAAGCATGGAACAAAGTGATAGGGAGGAAGACTGTTATATATTCTTTAATAATTGAGAAGAATAAAAATAATTGCATAAGTTCATTAAACTGAATCATCTAATCACCTGCTGTGGGAAAGGAAGCCAGTCTTGTTGGAAAACTTTAGGTTATTTTACAGCAATATAAATAAGTAAAATCATGTGATGGATTTCCATCCCCTGGTCCCTTATTTCTATCACATGCAGTATTATTCTGGGAAGGAACTGAGAACACTGTATATTTATTGCATCTTTTTTTAGTATTTTTAGAGTTTTTGTTTAGTCTGTTTTTAATGGAGTAAGTGGTGTAGATAGTAAAAAAAACAAAAACCCCACAAAGTAAAACTCTTTTTTCTGTTAGACTTACAGGCAGTATCCAGTCTAATTGTGGACCTGAAACTGGTATGCTTTCCCATTTTGACTTTTTTTTTCTCCTGTGAGTTCTGACTAAAATAAATGTACTTACAGGAGAGTTTGTGCTCAGTATAGTAAATCTTAATTATGAACTGCATTGATTAATTATGTGTCTGTACACATCCTTTCAGACAAAAAGGGATTGCTGCATTAGGACTGTGAAATAATCTCAAGTATTCTGATGTTATTTCAAGTGCATATAATTTTTTTGTTTTAACATATTTAGTGTCTATATTGTTTCACTTTGAATTCTGGGCAGTATTTCTAGAGGAAGAGTAGCCAGTTATGGCTATATGGCAGATGTTTCCTACCATTTAAAAAAAAAAAAAAAGCCAAATACAGGAGTCAATAATGAAATTTATTTGAGTTCATAATGAAGAGCTATTGTGATTTGTACTTGAATGTGTAGTTAAAAGTACAGATGGTCAGTAATACAAGGAAAGGCTTTGACTTAATTTAATATTGCTCTTTCTTACTTATCACAAATGCCTGTCTGTGGTTTGTTCCCACACAGCGGCTGTAAATTTTACACGTGACTTTTTGCTATGCTGACTGAAACTTCTCTGCTTATTTTTCTGTTTTTGTTTCTCCATAATATTTCAAATGTCATGGTTCTCTGGCACCTTTTTTCAGCTCTTGTGGGCAATTTTAGATTACAGGTGAAATCGTTAGCTTGATACATTATCTATTTTTGGTTGGTTTATTGGCAGGGTGGTGTTTTTATTTTTTGCCAGAGCAAGATCTGCTTCAGAGTTGGATCAATTCTTTATACTCCCACATCAAACTTGTGCTGACTTGTTTTGGAAGCTGAGAACAATAAGCTGTGTCCAATATAACAAATGAAGGTTGAATATTTCACTACTCAACATACTGAGAAATTACAGGGGTGCGTTTGTGTAGTGTGTCTGATGAAATTCGGTGAACAGTAATTTGCAGGCACTGTAGACTTTTTTCAGATAAGTTAAGAATTTGATACACGAATGCTCAGCAGCTGTTACCATGTTAATACAAAATACGTGCTTGATCTTAAGGGAAAAAAAGAGCAAGATAATTCCAGATTCGTCCTGAAATTCTTATGCCTGAGACTAGCAAGTGGTGATCTCCGTTAGGGCTCGCTGGATACCAACATGAACATAACATAAACAGTTTGACATTAGCACTTCCCAAGGGGTGCACATGACTTTGGAGTGGAGAGGAAAAAGAGATTAGGAAAAAGGTGATTCTAAGAAATGGATGATCTATTTTTAGTATATATATCCTCAAAATCTTAACTAAATCTTATATTGAAGAAATAGAAGGATGTGCTTGTCATGGAGTAGAAGTCAGCATTGTTCAGCTGGTAACTCAGTCATCTGCATGCCTATGTCCTTCAGTGCTGATCTGGAAATTGTTCCGCTTGTCCACGGCAAGGATAGCTGTTCATTGCCTCTTATTCAGAGGAAAAAGAAACCAAGAGAACATTCCAACTGTCCTGAATAAATGCATAAGGTGTACCTATGATCTGCTAGTTTATCCGTGTGCACACAAGAAGTCCTTTAAAAGAAGGCTGAGAGGACAGCTTATGGGCGACTTTTCTTTTTTTTTTCTTTCTTTCTTTTTTTTTTTTTTTAGTCAGTTGGATTGTGGAGTTCAAGAAATGATAGAGTTGATTGCCGGCTGGGCATCTCTTACCTCTTTCTCCAGGGCTTCTGTCTTTTTTGTTTGTGCGTTCCCAATGCCTAGTGCAAAGGCTTCAGTCTTGATAATTGCCTCAGGCACTATCACAGTAAAGTACTTAAAATATAAAGAGCACAAGTAATCTACTTCTTCCATGATAATTGTTGAGTGATGCTAGTATGTTGTATCATGTACATATTAAAAAGATTGCTTGATGAGGTCTTTTCCATAGCTCACTGAAGTTATTGCAGACATTTCCACTAACTTTAGTAGTCTTTGAATCTAGCTTGTTGAGGTAAATTTAAGACACTGATTAGAGCTTTTGTGCAAGTTAAATAACGTAGTCTGTATTTGAAAATTCAGCAACATATCTTGAAATTCCTGTGTTCTGTCAGTAGGAAGAAAAAAATTGCTTGCAGTTGTTTGGACAAAAGTGTAGCCTGAACCACAGAGTTGTGTCTTCCAAAGAAACCGCTATTCTAAAAGTGAATGCTGCTCTAAGGGAAATAACTAAGTAACTTCTGATAGTCAACAGGGTGATTCTCTAGCCAGGGAAACTGTAAAAGGACAAAAGAACCAAAAAGATTTGATGTGTGATGAAGTGGACCTTCTTCACTTATGTTTTAGCCAAAGCAAGGTATAAAAATACACCATTGCAAAAGGAGCATTGAGTCTGTAGTCAGAGAGAATAACCCATCCAGTTAAGACTATCCAAAGATGGATGCACATTGCAAGCAATCATTTCCTGTGAATGGTAACAAATAATGAAACGAGGGTTTTGCATAAAGCAAGGGGGTGGAGAGCAAAGGACAGACTGAGTTTTAACTTTGTTGCAAGAAGTTTCTACCATAGTAGTTGTTTTTGAGGATAAAAACTTTTATATTTATAAATGTATTTATTTACTTTTGACTGTATAGCCTTGATTTAAAGAAACAACAGAGAAGCAGAGTTAAGCCTCTCCATTGAAAGTTAACATAGTTCCGAATGTGCTGTTTTAATAAGTATCTCATACAAGGTATGTGATTTGAAAAGAATTTTTATTTTGATAACACTTAAAGCCATTCGACATTGAGTTCTTAATTTGATGCTTATTATCTATATTTACATATATCATTGTTCAGTTTCTTCACTCCATTTTCATTTTTGTTGCCTGGAGCATGGAAGAGTTCGCTGTCAGGGACCTCTGGAGGTCACCTAGTCCAGCCTCCTGCTTGAAGCAGGGCTGTTGCTAACGTTAGATCGAGCCAGACAAGGCTTTGTCTAGCCGAATCTTGAAAACCTCCTAAAAGAGAGGGATTCGCAGCCTCTGTGGGTAGCCTGTTGCAGTGCTGCGCTACTTCCGAGTAGGGGATTTTTACCTCGCGTTTGACCTGAACCTTCCAAGCAACAGTTGTGACCGTTGCCCCTTGTTGCATTGTCTGCTAATACCAAGAAGAGTTTGTGTCTGTGATCTTAATTCCTCTTTGAATAGTGTGGGCTGCTGTCACGTTGCTCCTCGGCCTCCTCTTTGCCAGACTGAAGAAGCTTGGTCCTCTTAACCTGCTCAGTACACAGTTCTTGCCTTGCTTATTTAGTTTCTCAAACTGTAGAAAAATGAAGTGAAATCATCAGCCTCACTACTAGCAAAGATTTTTACTCTTCTCTTGAAAGACAGTGCACGCCAAAGTTACCAAAGTGTTCCAGCCGCAGACCTGGGAAGACAATATATCATCTGTCAATCTGTGGTTTATGCTTAGCAAGCATCCTTCCCTGCAGTGAAGGAT